GGACTGGATTGTGTTGGGAACAAGAGCAGTTCCTCATGCTGAGGGCACTGAGGTGCTTCGTTTACTCCGAGGACTGGAACTATCTCTCTACATCGAGGGAGGGCCACTTAGCAGCTTCCACAGTTCAGAACTATGACCAGTGCTGAGGAGAGTAAATGCAGTTAGTGCGGTCATGATAACCAACACTGTCAAATGGGTGAGGAATGATGGGCTGCTTGGAATCCTTGAATGGCAGAAAATATCTAGTAATTGCACCCATCAACATATACTTGAGGTAAATGAAACAGGGGACCAAGATAGCATACCCAGGGACACATGAAATGATCACATGTATTAAAACAGGTTCCTGAGTTTCAAAGTTAGAATACATGAAGATACAATTAACAGTAAATCTAAGTTGAACATAATTTAATCTTTGTGATTCAAGAGATTTTGTGGCTTTTCAGTGCTTGAGGGTCACAATGAACAGCATGTTGAAGAGACTATAAGCTGCATTTGTTGTCACATAACAAAACTCAGCAGTTGCTTTTTTTTGGAGGAAAACCCTCATAGCAATTTTATAACTTGTCATTTGTGGCTTTATCATAAAAGATGAAAGAAGAATACATAAAATTCCAGTTTATGTTGTCCGGTTGTTTAAATCCTAGATAAATGGGTGTTTACCCTTACTGAATGATGGCTTTTAACATGCAAAGTTAATGTTTCAATCTCCATTATCAGGCCTGCTTATCTGAGAGTGGTGGTGGGTTTGTGATAATTCAACTGTTTCTTCCTTTCTTCCTATATGAGGCATATTGGTTAGGGTCATAGGATCCTAGTGTTTGAACATGCATTTCTATCAATACAGACAACTAATTTTAGCCAGTTATCTTTCAACAGAGTTCAGAAAAGAGATTTCACTTCATTATGTATATTAGCTATAAAGGCCTGGCGACTAGGTTTTGATCTTTGAAGATTAAAATCTCAGTGCACGATCAGTGGATTGTCCCACAGTAATCTAACATAGAGGGCTTCTCAGGTGGCACTAGTGGTAAAGAACCCGCCTGCCAATGCAGAAGACTTAAGAGACTTAGGTTTGATCCCTGGGTCAGAAGATCCCCTGGAGGAGGGCATGGCTACCCACTCCAGTATTCTTGCCTAGAGAATCCCATGGACAGAGGAGCCTGGTGGGCTACAGTCCATAGGGCCGCAAAGAGCTGGATATGACTGAAGCAACTTAGCACATGATCTAACATTTAGGGTACTTTTATGGCTAACGTGATGGATACATTGCTTTTCAAGTTTTTTATGGTGAAGGATCAGGTTTCTGGGTTTTTTTTTTTTTCCTCTTTTTCATTTTCTATACATTATGAACTAATAATTTTTAAAATATAACAGTAAAATAAAAATACAAGTCATACAAAATACAAGGCCTAATTTATTACTGTTATATTCAATAGCTATAAAGCTACCTTCAGATTGCTGAATATGCTCCTAACTGCTTACTCTCAAGTTTCTGTACTGTCCTGATCAGTGACAGGTTGCCCTGAGGACCAGATTTTGAGTAGAACTGCTCTAACATACTGCCTCTGTCACAGACCTTTATGCCTTTAAAAAATAAAAAACTTTTATATTTGAGCACAGTGATTAAAAAATGTTGGGTTAGTTTCAGGTGTACATCAAAGGGTTCAGTGTATACGCATACATGTATCTATTCAAATTCTTTTCTCATTTAGGTTATTACAGAATACTGAGCAGAGTTCTCTGTGCTGCAAGTAGGTCCTTGTTGGTTATCTATTTTAAATATAGTAGTGTGCATATGAATCTGACCACCCTTAAGAGAAAATAGACGACTGCTTATATGACAGTTTAGACTATCCCATTGTGTGAAGGAGGCGAGACCAGGTAGTTTTGTGAAGGTCCTCCCTGTTTGCTGATTTGCTGTGTGGGTTGTCAGGGTCCACTCCTGCTCATGGCTTTCTACCCTCAAGGGAAGCAAGAACCCTGGGCTCATGCTGGGTCATTGAACCTTGAGCTGTTTATCCTATCATGGTCCTCCTGAGCTGCCGGTTTTTGATGTTTAGAAATAACTTCCTTCTAACATTTGGCTTCAGTGGAATGGAGGAAGAGGAAATACTTAAATCGGGTGAGGTCCGATGCAATGTGTCCTAACAAGCTTTTTGCCCTGCCAAGTAGACCTTCATTTTCTATATCTGCCTGAATTTTTAATGTCAAAACATCACCTCCAATTATCCTTGGACCATGACCTTGGCCCATGACTCAGTTGAGTACTGACTGCACAACTCTTAACTTGTGGAAGTCTTTCATTACACATGCATCACTGTACCCATGTTGATGGATTCTTGTTTAGCAGCCCTCATCACAACTGACAGACATTTCTCCTGAGTTCAGTGTAAGCTGTACCTGTGTCATCAAACAGTGTTCCTTCATCAGAGCTCGAATCTGAGCTTGTTGCAAGGCAGTAGTAGATAGGTTAATGTTGCTAAGAAAGCCATAGAACATTTTCTACCTGTTTTTCTTTTGCTTCATCTGTTCATTTTTATCTTGAGTAATTCAATGATTTTGGTTTTCTACTTGGAATTTGTTATCTTTAAGAAACTGCTATAAGGCAGTTAGGTTAATTTGCTCCATAAAAATATACCTCACAATTGAATGAAATATTATGATTAATGGTTAAAAATAACTCTTATTACAAAAGATTTTTTATTTTTATTTTTAAGAAGCCTAAGAACTTGATGCAATTTGTTTAAGCTTAAATAAATCTACATCTAAAGGTCCCTCAGGGTATCTAAGCAAAGTAAACTTGTACAGGTTTTAGATGAGGCCATGTTTCCATGTCCTTTCAGTATAGACAATCAGGGTAAATTTCACCGTGGGGCTAAACAACAGACGACTAGATCAGGCACTGTAGACATCAAGAACTTTCAGAATTGTACAGGTGTTCACATAACCATCACACACAGACCAGAATAAAACAAACAGTACCACTGTTTAATCAACCTTCTTACTGGAGCATTTCCCAAAATACAGCCCTTTGTCTTCTATTCTGCCCACCTCCACTCCTATGGTTTAATGATTCATTTCCAAAGTTCCATTCCACAATTCAAATATTTCTATTTTGCATTTCTCTTTGCCTCAAGTTCAACATACCTAAAATAAAACCAACCTCAAAATCTTTGAGTTGGATGAGATTGCAGGGGACATCCATTTTTGACTTCAATGGGCTACAGGAGTAGCTTTTACAAAGCTTCCAACAGGGGGTTCTCTAAACTCTCCTTTCATATCTCCAACTCTAGGGGACTCCCCTCTGCCCAGGGCACCCATTTTTGGTACCTTGCTTCCAATACCAGTACTAATTCTCTGTCCAGGTTTCCCAGCCAGGAAAAGGTACCATCCTCTTTTCACTTCCCAAGCCCCACTTAAAGCCTGCACCATCTGATTGTTCCCCAAACCCCTATTTCTAATCAGGTATAGGATGGGTCAGGCCTAATACTTTTAATCAGCTCCTTCTCCCAGTCCAATAATTCTTAGCACATAATAGGTCATCAATAATTAATTGCTAATTGATATTTTTAAAATATTAAAGAGCTCAGCCTTAGCAAGTGAAGCTTTCTTAATTTGAATTTTGTGCTTCATGTGATGTTTCTGACCAAATAGCCAGGTAAGAATTATATCATCAATTAGAATAAAGATACAGTTCCTTAGCAGATGAAGTGATAATTGTATACTTTATACATCATTTAAAGACTCCTGTGGAGAGAAAAGTTCTGTATATAATGGGAAATGACATTTCAGAGAAATTTTGGTAAAATCTACCCAGCTCACAGGAGAGAGATTATTCTTTTAAATTTCTCCTGTTTTTCTTATCTTCTACTGTGCAGACCCTAGCTAGCTTTCCTAAAGCAAATAAATGACTTTTCCTGTTATACCAATAATGCTAGCATCTTAAAATTTCATTAAAGATGCAAAAATGGAAACTTTGGCAGCCAATTTTGTTTTATTTTTAATAATTTCAGTAGAATGGCTAGAAACAGGATTTCCATATTTTACATGTCTTTTCTTAATATGCCTGAAAACAGAACTAAAGATCAGTATGTGCAGTTCATTAAGGCCCAGATTCCGTTCTGATCTGAGATATAGCATTAGAAGAAAACAGCTTAGAGGTGAGGAAACCGCCAGTTATTAGACCAAGTTTCCAAAAGCCATGCTGCTGGAGTGAAACTTGATAAAAACAAGATGATTCATGCCGTTGTTTAGAAGCTGGACCACAGGAACCCAACAGAGTAGGCTAATTCCCCTTACTTCTCATACTCCAGTTATAAACTTGTTAAATTCAGGGAATGCAGCATTAAGTTATTTGAGGACTGCTACTTCCCAGAGGATTCAGTGAGGTAGAAACTAATACAAAGGACAAGGAAGATTACTCTCTCCTATTTAAATCTTTAAAAACAATGAGCCTCTCAAAGGCCCATACAGCTACTTAAACATGCATGTACATGTACTTGTTTATAGCAGCACTGTTCACAACAGCCAAAAGGTGGGAACAGCCCATCAACAGATACATGGATAAACAAACTGGTATATACAATGGAATATTATTCAGCCACAAAAGGAATAAAAGTACTGATACATGTTATAAGGTAGATGAACCTTGAAAACATTATGCTCAGTAAAAGAAGCCAGACACAAAATGTCACATATCATATGATTCCATTTATAGGAAATATCCAGAATAGATAAATCCATAGAGACAGAAGGCAGACTGGTGGTTGCCAGGGGCTGAGGGGAGGGGGATGGGGAGAAACTGCTTAATGGGTAAGGAGTTTTACTTTGAAATGATGGAAATATTCTGGAACTAGATAGATATGGTGGTTGTATAACACTGTGAATATACTAAATGCCACTGAATTGCTCATTTTAAATAGTTTATTTAAAAAACGAGCTCATGTCTTAACCAGGTTCTTGCCTCTAGAACCCTCTTCACTGTACTTTATGCTTACCTTGCATACCATGGATGTCTTTGCTCCAAGCCTAGCAGCTTGGACACACTGGTTGGCACCTTTCCCTCCAAAGCCAATAAAAAACTTATGTCCATGGATGGTTTCTCCAGTTTTTGGCAGACGAGAAGTAAGGCTATAATTTAAGAGAAAAAGAGGGGGAGAAAGCACATTGGTAACTGCAGTCAATTTGAGTTTTTCAGAAGACAGAGGGAAGTTTATCTGATGAAGCCCTGGTCTTAGCAGCCAGAACTGCAAACAGGAGCAAGAAAGATTCTCTTTTCCTTGAAGATAATATTCAGTAGTTTGTATCATTATCAAGAAGTCATCTGTTTGACAAAATTCCTCGCTCTCAAACTGCTGTAGCTCTACTTCAGAGCACAACTCTTAGAGTCTGTACTGCATCAGGGTTGTTATGGGTGCCTCTGTTTTCCTTCTCGTGGAACTCTAAGAGGGAAGTAACTTCATATTCCCCCTTCCCAGTGCCCAGCACAGAACTTTATTCACAGTGGGACTTAATAAATGGGACCAAATTAATGTGTTCTGTACAGGTTTATCTAGTCACCTACAAGAAGGAGGAAGCGTGCTACAATTCTGGTAACCATGTGCAGGACCTAAGGAGAAGAGGGAAGTTGCAAATCCAGGCACAGAAGAATCTTGTTTCCTTGGGGGTGGGGTGGAAGTATGGTATTTAGATGGCAGGATTAGGTTTTAGTCCTAGTCCATCTTGTATACCATCCATTTCATGCACTGACTCAAAAAGAGCATTAATCAAAAAAAAAAAAAAAAAAAAGGATTCTAAAGATCTTAGTTTAAAATTTTTACTATAGAAAATTCCAAACATAAACCTATAGAAAATGTTATAGTGACTTCCCCTAGCCCCATGTACCTGTCACCCAGATTCAATTATTGTCAACTCAAAGCCAACCTTCTTTTAGTTTGTACCTTCTCTGATGTCTCCAAGTGCTAAGGATTTTTACTGACATGTTACTGCCTAGTGAGGATAGCATTAAGTGAGGCAGAAAGAGTAAAAGACTTTCTCGAGGATAACATTAAAGATGTAAGATGTGAGGAAACAGTACCTTTGAAGAATAGACAACTTTAAAAGGAGAAAGAGTTCTGGGTATAGGGACAAGTAGAGAAGATGGACTCCAGTGGCATGAGGACTGCTCAGCTGGCCACAAAGAAGTGGGCCAAGGGCTGTGTGCGTGTGTGCTAGGTTGCTTTAGTCATGTCCAACTCTTTGTGACCCTACAGACCGTAGCCCACCAGGCTCCTTTGTCCATGGGGTTCTCCAGGCAAGAATATTGGAGTGGGTTGCCATGCTCTCTTCCAGGGGATCTTCCCAACCCAGGGATTGAACCTGGGTCTCCTACATTAGCAGGTGGATCCTTTACTACTAGGGCCTGGAGCCAGTGGAGAGAGAGCAGGCATTAACTAGGTTTAGACAAGAAAGAAAGGCCAACAGATAAGTCCACAATAAGTGAACTGAGAACCTACTCTGCTTTAGCAGGCTAGAAATTTATATTCATTTCCCACATAGGCTGCAATCTAACAGAAGACAGTATCTTACTGTGTTAGAGTAACAGAACAGTACAGTTCCTACAGGTCCCTAACAGCCTATTTGCAATGGGATGACATATGACTGATGCCAGGAACACATGATCATGTCAATAAAAACCAAGTTTGACCTGTGAACCTCCCTCATGAAGTTATAAAAGTCTCAATAAATTGGGCTAAAACATTGCTTGGTTCCCTAGCAATCCCCTGTCAAATATGGTTATTTGAGATTCAAAAGAGACTCATCAATAATTTGAAAACATCCCACTCTACTCCTCCCCTTTTCAATTCTATTTTTATCTTGGACTCTAAATGCATTTATAGTACCAATGGAAAAAATATACATCTACAAGGTTCACTTCTGAAAAAGGTACTCAATCAAGAGAAAAATGCTCTTAATGTAATGTTATTATCCTGTCATTTAATTTAGCAATGACAAGTGATGATGAGAGTTTGATTTGCATCAGAAATCTTAAGCACTTTAGGATTCTGTTATGAACAGGCAATGATGAGTAATCTGTGTGATTGAGTAACTGTGTGAATTCTTGGCTTATTGATGCTGCTACAAACAACATTCATAACAACCTTAAGAAGAAAAAAGTATCCAATGTGGCTAAAAACAGGCCGAAATAACTTAATTAGTAAGACAGTCACTAAAGAAACTTATGACTTCCACTATATTTATACTTAGATCTGGGTCACAATTCACTGGTTTGAATTAAGTGTATTTTTTATTATCAACTGTGGGAAATCATGCAAAACATATCACCAGATTATTATTGGGATGTACGTGTTTGTGGGGGAGGAGTGAAGTCAAGGGTACAGCGTGTATGTGTTTGACGTGGGAGCAGATGGCTGAGATTTAAACTTATTTCTAAACAACTTATACTAACACAAGCACTGTACTGATTTAGCCATCACTTAAATTTCTCACTCCTTTGGAATGCTACTATTTTTCTTTTCTGTCTGCATCTCTGTTCTACTCTTATCTTTTTTTCCCCTCAGTTGTCGCCTTTTCCAGCACGAGGACAGGGACCAATGTCTGTACCATCTTATCCCCATTTGCTAACTGGATGAACCTTTGTAAGAGTCTCCTCTTGTCTCTGAAGGGCAGCATAATATGCCACCCCAAAATACAACTGTAGGAGTTGAGGACATGCCACTGCAAAATGTGCTGCTTTGGCATATTATCTGGAGTTGTGGGCACTTGAAAACCAGCAGATGCAGGGAGAGGTTTGCTCTGAACTCCCTTATCTGCCTATAGGAACTCAGCTGCCATCAATCCCCTTCCTGGAGTTTGATCAACCAGACGGGATGGACTCTTGTCACAGGAAAGGAGAAGAGAAGTCAATACCATGCCTAGACAGCCTTTCTCACAGACTATCACACCTCCCATCTATTTTTCTAAGGACCATCGGTTCATTTCAGTTCAGTCGCTCAGTTGTGTCCGAATCTTTGTGACCCCATGAACCGCAGTACGCCAGGCCTCCCTGTCCATCACCAACTCCCAGAGTCCACCCAAACCCATGTCCACTGAGTCGGTGATGCCATCCAGCCATCTCATCCTCTGTCATCCCCTTCTCCTCCTGCCTTCAATCTTTCCCAGCATCAGGGTCTTTTCAGATGAGTTATATCTTCGCATCAGGTGGCCAAAGTATTGGAGTTTCAGCTTCGACATCAGTCTCTCCAGTGAATACCCAGGACTGCCATCGGTCTGTCCTAAAAATCATTTACTCTCCACTAAGGGTTCTACCAGGCTTCCCAGGTGACTCAGTGGTAAAGAATACACCTGTCAATGCAGGAGACATGGGTTTGATCCCTGGTCTATGAAGATCCCCTGGAGGAGGAAATGGCAACCCACTTCAGCATTCTTGCCTGGAAAATTCCATGGACAGAGGAGCCTGGTGGGCTACAGTCCATGGGGTCGCAAAAGAGTCAGACATGATGTAGAGACTAAAAACAATGAAGAGACCTACCACTCCCTTCTCCCTTCCCTATTAAGATGTTATTTAATCCCAAATTCTAAATCACCTTGTAGATTCATTTCTTCCCCTGGATATCTCCCATGTATAACTGAGGGATACACGTTACTGAATTTCTGTTTTCCTCTGGCTAGTCTGTCTTTCATTACAGGGGTCTTAGTCAAGAACTGAGAAAGGTAGAGGGAAGTGAGTATTTCCTCCTCTACATCTCTTTTCCATGTCTCCCTTGTATGGCATCCTTTGTTTCTTCTTATTTGAAGATGTGGAGGTGTTGATGAACGGGGAAGAGGAGGCTGGGATGGCTGTTCAATTGTCTGGCAATAACAATTTCATGTTTTACAAGACCTTGTCCATTGCATTCCCAATATTGGCAGCATTCCTTTTCTATTAATATAAGCAAGAACTGTAACTATCATTCTTATATTCAGACATTAATTCAACAAATGTTAAATCAATGTTTTCCAATGAACTTCCTATAGGGCAAAATCAGCTTGCTGACAAGATAAAATCTAACCATGATGCAAATAACAGAGGAGTGAAAAAAACATGTTACAGAATTAGTATAACCTGATTTATGTTTCTTAAAAGGAAAAAGATAATATGTATATATCCTCATATGATATGCAAATGTATAGAAAATGAAACGTTAATGACAGATATCCATGAGAAAGACGGGAGTGGGGAGCAAAAGTACACAGAAATGTATGTACCAAGAATATCTTTGTGTTTTAAGGGAAGCCACTTGTAACTATTTCAGATTTATCTGGCCTCCCTGCATCCCAGCACCAGTTGTCTCTAGCTGGCTTATTGCAGGTGCAACCTAACAGAACCTTGCCTTGGGCGACCCTCTCACCATTTCAGGGTTTCTGTTTCTGTTCTGGGCTGTCCTGCAGGACAGAGAAATCTGTTAAAATACATCAAGTATCTTGGTATAGACGCTTCTGCTTCTTGGCTTCACTTTCTCTGGCTCTTGCTTCCTGGATTATAGTCCAGCATAGAGGACATGCACTCAAGCCTTTGTCTTATCGATCTGCTTTCTGCTGAACCCAGATTAAGGCAGTTTATTGCTGATTTATTATTTTAAAAAAGTGAATGAGTTAAAGAGTGGAAAGTGGACTGGAGAGCAACTAGAAACTTAATTACAAATGGGCAGAAGAATTTCTGAATTAAAGATCCTAATTTACTTTGAATTAGGTTTTTCTATCTTTTTCTTTTATTAAAGCCATGAAATTAAGGTCAGGTTCATGAAAGAACCTGCACAAAGTACTGTCCTCTGTATGAAAGCATCACCATGATTCTTCCCAATTCAAACATGACCTCTCAGTAGGGTGTCAAAGACTGTACTCAAATAAGTACTAAAAGGAAAAGAAAAAAAAAGGGAAGTAGTACTGGTAGAAATATGGGCATCCCAGGTTGCTCAGTGGTAAATAATCTGCCTGCCAATGTAGGAGACTGGGGTTCAATTCCTGGGTGGGGAACATTCTCTGGAGGAGGAAATGGCAACCCACTCCAGTATTCTTGCCTAGAGAATTCCATGGGCAGAGCAGCCTGGCAGGCTACAGTCCACAGAGTCACAGCTGGACACGACTGAGCA